GATAGTGAAATTCTGGATAGTTGCCAGGTTGCTGCATCCTCAGTGAATAAATGAGCAGATCTTCCATCCTGCAGTTGTTGGACTTTCAAACCAAATGCACAGAATTATTAAACCTGAACTCCCTGCTATTGAACTATGAAGGATGTTTCTGTTCTGATCCGTTCTATGTGTGACAAATGTTGATTTTTATTACTCATATAACGGAATTAGATTATTGCTATTTCATCTAATTGACAATTACAATTTATTGAAGTTTTTCTCACATTAAAATGACCAGTTCAGACCTTGGTCTCTACCTCAATGTTCTCATTCTCTCATCATGTGATGAATTGTGTGTCTGCAGCTTATCAGGCTGTTTGGTCTCAGAGGAAGGCTGTGCTTCTCTGGCCTCAGCTCTGACCTCCAACCCCTCCCATCTGAAAGAGTTGGACCTGAGCTACAATCATCCAGGAGACTCAGGAGTGAAGCTGCTGTCGGCTGGACTGAAGGATCCACACTGGAGACTGGAAGCTCTCAGGTATGGAGGAACCTGCTGCAGGAGCAGAGAAGGTCTGATAGAGGAGGAAGAGGGACAAATGTTTTTAGTCAGTCTGATGGGAAACATTTAGTTTGAAGCTGAATGTTTATCAGCTTCAAATCTTTGATTCTTGTTGAATCTTTGTTGAATGTGATGCAGCTTCTCCTTTTGAATGTTTGTATTTCTGGATATTACAGTGAGGCCACAGCAGGTTTTCAGCAGCAGGGCTGTTTAGTGTTTCATTCCTTCATCTGTGTGTGGGAGTGTGGATGGATCAGGTATCCAGGTGTTGATCAGAGTTTAGATTGATTGTATTTTAATGCTGATTATTAAATCAGGTTGAGCTTCCAGAAATGTTTCCTTAGTTTCCTGATGTCCTTTTAGGCTTCAGTGAGTTTCTTCAGGTTGTTACTGAGGGATTTCCTTTCTCCTCTCTGTTGGAGCTTTTCCTGTGTTTGGAGAAATGAGTTGTGCTGCAGCAGCACCAACTGTCCTTCCTACATCCACTGCAGTTTGCAATCCAGATGTTGGACTGTTCCTGTCTCAGTGGAGGACAATGTGTGTCTGAGAGACATGTAATGTCCATGTTTGCTGCTGAAAGAGACTGATGGTCTGACCCCCCTCCTCCTTTCAGGGTGGAGCCTGCTGGAGGCCGATTCTTGACTCCAGGTCCATGGAGATGTAAGTGTATTTTTCATCTGATTCATAACAACAAAGCAGCTCAAATTCAACCATCTTCAAACTGTCACATCACTCATTCAGGAGTCAAAGTGCCAATAAATGATCAATAACTGCAGCTGGATTGTGTTTGTTCTCTCCATCAGATTCCTGTCAACTCACCATCGACACAAACACAGTGAGCAGAAAACTCAAACTGTCTGATGACAACAGGAAGGTGACATGTATGGAGGAGGATCTTCAGTCATATCCTGATCATCCAGACAGATTTGATTACTGGAATCAGCTGCTGTGTAGAACTGGTCTGACTGGTCGCTGTTACTGGGAGGTCGAGTGGAGAGGAGGAGTTTATATATCAGTGAGTTACAGAAGAATCAGGAGGAAAGGAGACAGTATAGACTGTTGGTTTGGATGTTATGATCATTCCTGGAGTCTGAGATGCTCTGATCGTTATGGTTACTCTGTTTGGCATGATGGCAGAGAAACTCATCTCTCCTCCTCCTCTGTCTCTAACAGAGTAGCAGTTTATGTGGACTGTCCTGCTGGCATTCTGTCCTTCTACAGAGTCTCCTCTGACTCACTGATCCTCCTCCACACCTTCAACACCACATTCACTGACCCTCTGATTCCTGGATTTGGGGTCTGGCCCAGTTCTGGTTCCTCTTCAGTGTTTCTGAGCTGATTTGAGTCTAAAGTTTTTTCTCCTGTCAGAGAAACTCTCTCACTGTTGAACAGATAGTTCAGTCTCTACAATTTATTTCTTGGTGAAACGATTCTGATTGAGTCCTTGGAAACTTTTTCTTCTTCCAGTCCTTTAAAGATGGAATCTGGGATTATTCCAGGATTATTCCAGGATCCTCATGTTTTTATGTCTTTTTCCAGTCAAAGTTTCACACTGAATATCAAGATGTTGTTTTTCTAATTTTTTCCTTTCATTCATCAGATTTTATTGAAATATTGATCAGTTTTTCTCAATATGATCAGTTTCTGTTTATCGGCTCCTATTTTTCTCATGTCAGATTTGAATATTAAATCTTCCTTTTGTAAATTTGCTGCAGTTTTTCTTAATGTGTTTTAAATAAAAACATTTTTCTTCTGCATTTGGTTCATTTGCTGCTCATTCAGTTCAAATTTAAATATTTGCATTAAAAATATTTTTTTTTATCAGCTCTGCCTTAAGGCCACAGCCAAATCATATTGATAAAAAACCTCTGAAAACGTCTCATTTTAATATTTAATTATAATTTCTGTGTGCACAACATTTCAAATGTTCTAATAATTGCAATGGATAAACATATTCTAACATATTTAATTTCCCCTGATGGAAATCCTGATACATCAACGACCCTGAAACAGATTTTCCTCCAAAATCTCAGTGATTTCCTTTTCTTTCAGTCTTGCATCCACATCAGCAGAAAGAGGTTTTGAAACCACTGAAATATCATCAGTAGCAACAATTTCAGCATCTAAAAGCTGAAATCTGACTTCATCTAGTTGAGTATCAAGTCGTTGAATGGAGGTTTTAGACTCCTGGGTAGTTTGAGCAGTGAATGTAACAAACAGCCATTGATAGAAAAAGCTGCTGTTCCTGTAAATGACGTCAACATGACAGTTTGGTTTGATATGTCAGCCTCCTCTCCATCAGTAGAAGAGGCGACTGATGGATCTGATGATCCAGAGCAGTGCTTGCTTCAGATCAATACATTTAATCAGCTGGGATTTTCCACTTCCTGCTCCACCGCTGACATACAAGTAAAATGGATGAGGATTCAAAGCCCAGAAACACTGAATACACCAGTCTCTTACTGCACAGAACACACAGGCCTGGTTCTGGTTCCGGTTCTGATCCATTGTGCGTAACACAGCTGGACCAATTGAAGGCTGTTCCCTGATGACTCTGACTTCTGTTCCAGCATCAGACTGATGACTGGAGTCGGGGCAACATCCTGTTGTTTGTCATCATCAGATTATCTCAGATTCTCATCACACTGTAATCTCACAGCTTCAGATTCAGGAGCAAGAATCCACCATTCATCATCACATTGTCTCTGTTTGGTTCTGGTTCTTCCACTGCATCTGAATCTCCTCACTAAAGTTTCTCATGTTTGTCTGTCTTGATGCTTTTCACAGACTCAATGTCCTCAGAACCAGGAAGTTGAAGAACTGTAGAAGAACTGATGGGTTTGGACCATCATAGTGTTGAAATAATAATGGTGCCGACTGAATACCAAAATGGATCGGCAGCATTTTAATGCTGGGTGAAAAAAAGAGCCAACCAGGCAGACAAGAAGGTGAAATCAGAGACAAACAGTTTCTCCACAGCAGAGAAATGGATCACGGCGCTCTTCCTCCACCTCCTCGCCGCGCCCCATCCTCATCCTCCACCACCTCCACTGAGTTCTAATGGGTCGGTTCAGATCCTCTCTGGAGATCAGACACCAGAACAGAGGCGGATCAGAACCAAAGCCGGCAGCTCTGCTGAAGCTCAGGAGAACTCTGAGTCCAGATGTGGACCCTGGTCTCCTCCAGAACCTCCTCTGTTCTGCTGTGGAGGAACTGTGTGGCTCCAGTTCTGCAGCAGGACCTTCTCAGCTGCAGCAGAAGAAGAAAGGACTTCCTGTGTTCAGGTTGGATAGAAACCTGGATATTTTCTAGCTTGTGGTTCTGCTTCCAGCGTAGATGTTCTCCAGGGTTCTGATCTGGATCTAGTGGACTGTAGAGCTCATCAGGTTTCCTCTCATCCACTTTGAGATCTTCAGCCTCCTTTAGATTCAACCTGAAGCTTCTTCTGACAGATTAGCTGCAGCTGATATTTAGCATGATGTTTATTATTCTAGCCTCAGTTTTCTGTTCTTCATGTGACTCGGTGACGCAGTGACATGTGACTGGGAGGTAAGAGCTTTAGCCAGGAAAGAGTTATCATTTTCTTTGCTGCTAATAACAGAATATGTAATAACTGGGCTTCCTTTTTATCTTCTCTTAGGGTCAAACCCAATCTATAATGCAGTGGGTTCAGCGGTAATGTGAACTTAAATATGTTTCTGGTTTCTGTCTGAATCCCCTGCCAGAATGGAATCAGCACTGGACAGTCCCAGGAAATGTGAGTTTGATCCCCAATCTGATTTCAGCCTCTCCAGCACAAATTTGTGGCATTTCTGTCATATCTTGAAAAACTGAAAGGTCTTTTGAAAAATCTCATTTTTAATTTCCAGTCAAATTCCTTCCAACCTGGACTGTGGCTGATCTTAAAACCTTTTTCACAGATCTCCTCTCACTCCTCATCTTCAATAACAATATTCATTTCTAGTTCCCACTTTTGCGTCATATCTGTAGATTGTCAGAAAAATGCATCTGCAAATGTTTATATAGATGAGATATAATCTTTCTCTTATTATGGTCTGTAAATAACACTAAATGGTCAAATTTTCCTTCTTGTTCTTTGGTCCAACAGTGACACCTAGTGGTTGATTTGTGATGTTAATTTGAAGAACGGTAGATTTCTTCTCCGTGTATTTTGTGTTACGCACTTCCTGTTTTTGCTGACCGCGATGAGTCATCGTTGGAGCCTGAAGGAAACCAAAGACAATCTGTAAAATAGCGGCTTGGGAAGCAAATTGAGGTAAGAATATTTATGATAAGACATGTTTATTTAAAAGCAACAGAACATCAGTGGTTTATTGTTTAGAAATGAAACTGTGTCGACGAGTTAAGGACACAAAGTATTTTTTGTATGTGTGAACATTTATGTATACTAGAGTTAAGCATGCCCAACAGTTATGTATCTTTTATTTCATGCTACAGTTTTCACGGTGCTGACAAGAAAAGTCCAGATTAAACTGCAGCTTCCTGCGTCTGGCTGTTTATCCCAAGAGGCCGCTGTTTGAACCTCTACACATTTTATCAGAAATATTTCTACAGGTGATGTATTTTATTTCAAGGTAGGCCATTCTTTGTGTGATAAAATGCCTTAATTGTAAATACTTATAGAATTCTTTTGAGCATAATCCATATTTATCTTGTAACTCCCCAAACGACTTAAGAGTTTCTCCTCTGAATAACTGATTAACTCTTATTAGTCCTTTCTGTGCCCATCTCTGAAAACCCGAATCCAGTTTGTTTGGAAAAAAAGTCAGTAATCCTGGATATTTTTATTATGCAGGATATTGTTAAAGTTGCTCCTATTTTCTTCCTCACCAGAGACCAGACTCTGTATGTACAAATAATCCACTGATTTTCAATTTTTAAATCCTCCCAATTTCTTCCCTCCATAAATGGAATGGCTTCAAGAGGTACCAGTGGGCCTGCATTGTTCTCCAGACTGATCCAGTTCGTCTCCTCATCCTGTTCAAGCCACTCGACCACAACATGAAGCTGTGCTGCCCAGTAGTACAATTTCAGATCAGGCAAGACCAAGGCCACCTTTTTCTCTTGGGATTAACAATAATTTCTGTCTGATTCTTGGTTTCCTCCTTTGCCAAATAAAGTTAATAATAATGTTATTACAAATTTTAGAAGTGGAGGCAGGTATCCAAACCGGGAGTGCCTGGAATAGGTACGTGGGATTATTTTTTGATATTGAGAGAGAATATGATATGATGTGGAGGGAAGGATTATGAATAAAAATGAGAAGATGGGAATAAATGGTCATATGTTTAGATGGATTAAAAGTTTCTAGAAGAAAGACGAATACAAGTGAGGATGGAGACGGATTATTCTGAGAGTTTGAATATAGATAATGGGACACCACAGGGCAGTGTAGTAAGTCTGTTATTATTTTCAGTAGTAGTTAATGATATGTTTAAAGAAGTAAAGGGTGGAATGGGATTTTCACTCTTTGCTGATGATGGAGCAAATGTGGAAAAGAGGAAGAAATTTAGACTTTAATGTAAAGAAGCTTCAGGGAGAAATTTCTACTGTAGAGAAATGGTCAAATAAATGGGTTTTAAACTTTCTGTAGAGAAAACTAAATGTTTTTTACAAGGAAATGAGTTGAGGAAAAAAATTACTTAAAGTTATATGGACAGGATTTGGAAAGTGAAACAATAAAAATGTCTTGGGGTGGTTTGATGAATGACATGTGATGCTCACATTCAGAAAATAATCAATAAATGTAGAAAAGTATTAAATATAGTGAAGTGCTTAGTTGGAACAGAGCTGATAGAAATTAATTAAAAGCTATTTATACTGGGTTAATTAGGTCAGTCGTGGACTATGGATGTATAGTTTATAACTCAGCAGATACAAACCTCCATAAGTTAAATATTATCCAACATCAGGCCTTAAGAAAATGAACTGGAGCTTTAAAACATCTTCAACAGCAGCACTACAGGCTGAAATGGGAGAAATGCCTCTTAAACTTAGAAGGAATCAATTATCTTTAAACTACTGGTCAAATTTATAGGGACAAAGAAAAGATCATCCAACATTAGAGGAGCTTAAACCTGGATGGGAAAAGGAAAATAAACAATTAAAGAGCTTTGGATGGATTATAAACTCTAAATTTAATGAAATTGATTTAAATCAGTTATATGTCAGATTCATTACCTGCAGTTCCACCTCGGATCCTTCCTGATGCTGAAGTGGATTTTTCATTATTAGAAACAAAGAAGATAAAATTCACATTATGAATAAATACATAGTACAAGAATACTTAAATAAATATTATAACTATTTACAAATATACACAGATGCATCAAAAATCCAGCTAATAGGGCAGGAATAGCGTTTACTGGTCCATAGTTTTAAATGAAGGTAGGAAAGAGGATTAGTGATGGAGTCTCTGTGTAAACAGGAGAAATGCTTTGCTTTGCTTTTAGCTGTTCAATGGCTGGAAGAATAAAACCATTAAAATCAGATTCTAGCTCTTCATTAGTCAGTTTGCAAAATAATCAGTCAGACAGTAAACCAGATATATTAATTGAAATACAATAAACACTCTACAGAATCAATATGATGGACTAACAGTAAATTTTGTTTGGGTTCCAGCACATTATGGGATTAAGGGGAATGAAATGGCAGACAGGATGGATAAGGAGAGAACCAATCATTTAAGGATGAATATTAATGTTAGTTATAATAGAAAAAAAGGATGTAAAAAAACAAAGAAACAAAAGAGAGGTGGCAAAAGTTATGGGTAGAAGAAAAAAAAGGAAGGTGGTTTTATAAAATCCAAAAGAGAATTGGACGAATGAGAAGAACAGAAAGAAACAGGAGAGAAGAGATAATTATTAGAATCAGACACGGTGGATTGAATAGATCAATATTATTGATAGGGAAACATCAGGCAGAGAAATGTGACTGTGGGGAAGATGAAACAGTGGAACATGTTATTTTGAGTTGCAGGAATTATATGATTCAGAGAAACAAGTTAATTAGGAACCTTAGAAACATGAAAAGGAAATTTGATATTGTTGATTTACTGCAAAAAGACTCAGGAAGCAGAAGATATCAGGCTATGTTAGATTTTTTAAACAGATTAAGTTGTATAATAGGACATAGTTTGTTTCTTTTAGTTTTTGTCAAGTGGACCAAACTCCTTACCAGGTGGGGGCGCTAAAGCTCACCTAATGTTTCTTGCCAACCGCCAATAAAAATCAAGAAGAAGGAGAAGAAGGAAAGTGCGACACCTAATGGTGCCACGTGTTACAATCAGTTATGCAACATCCTTCACATTTACTTTCGGTTTGGATTTACATGAGGCTCCACTCCGTTAGTTTGGTCTCAGTTTGTTGTCTAAATTTTGTTCTTTAACTCTTTGGATCGTTTGAACAAACTGTAAGTTTGATTTGATTATTTCTTGAACTTTTTCATCACTTTAACTTTTTCCTGATTGTTTCTAATCTCTGATGTTTGAAGTTTCACTTCTGATTTCTGCTGAAACATTAATATCTGCTATTTGAAGGCTAATCTACAGGATTATTAGATTATTGATCAACTGGAATCAATCAACATGATGAACAGCTGATGTTTCACTGTTTTCTTCTCCTAACTGATTCATGTTTTTATTTCCTGGTACTGAACTCAAGTCTCCACCATTAATGTCAGCAACAGTTTCCTGTTGCTTCCGTTCAAAATAGAATATAATTAAACTGGGTTTGATTCAGTCAGATGATTAAATAGTTCATCTTTAATGGAGCAAATAATCCACTTGTAGAGATTAAAAATTAACTAAAATACTTCCTGTTCAGGTTGAATCAGTGAATGTAAATGTTGCTCCATGTCTCCATCTAGTGGACTGATAGTAGAAGTGCAGCAGCTGATGGCAGCTTCCTCTGCCTCTCTGCTGTCTGACTGCATTCACCTGACACTGATATGAAGCAGAGAAGAAGAGCCAATCAGAGGAGGAGCAGCTGATCTTTTTCCAGCACTAATGATGTAAAGGATGATCAGAGTTGATGTGCAGATGAATGATGTGTGTTTCCTCTGCAGGTGAAGCTAGAAAGTGTGTGTGAGCTGATGTGGATTCAGCAGCATGGATCAGTGTGAGGACAGAGAGGAGGGAGTCCCTCCCTCTAAAACCACTCTGTGTGGGGAAGATGAGAGCCAGAGCAAAGGTCAGAGGTGAGGTCACCATCTCTAACTGTCCACAGCCCTTTTCACACAGCGTTCACTATATCAGGCCAGAACAGACGTGGTGATGAAGCTGCTGCTGCTCCTCTTTGCTGATTAAGTTTTAATCATCATGTTTCTGTCAGGATCCATCAGAGACTCAAACCAGAACCAGAACCAGAACCCAGCTGTGTGTCCTTTAAGAGTGACAGGTCAAAGTATGAACCCATTAACTTTAAATCTCCTGGATCTCCACCATCAGAGAGGTGAGCTGTATCTAACTGCTGTAACTTCTGTTTATATCTGTTATTGTGGCCATGTGATGATAAGTTCTGTTGGGTTCTGTTGTCATGAAAACATTGGACTGAATTTCAGGTTATTTTTCTTTTCATACATATTACATAAGAGATGTAACATGTATAATGTCTCCATGGAAACATGTTCCAATAATGAACATGTTTCTATGAACACAATAAAGTTCAACTGGCTCCTTTGTACAAAAATCAAACAGGTCCGTTTGGATCAGAGGTCGGCAACCCAACATGTTGAAAGAGCCACATTGGACCCAAAAAACAAAAAACAAATCTGTTTGGAGCCGCAAAAAAGTAAAAGCCTTATATAAGGCTTATAATGAAGGCAAAACAGGCTCTAGGTGTTTATATCAATCAATCAATCAATCAATCAATCAAATTTTATTTGTATAGCACATTTCAGCAAGGCATTTCAAAGTGCTTTACATCATAAACACAAAGTCATGCATCATGGAATAAACAATACATTGTTACATATTACATTTCAAAAACAATTCTAAACAGGTGTGTTTTTACTTGAGATTTGAAGGAAGTCAGGGTTTCTGCTGTTTTACAGTTGTCTGGAAGTTTGTTCCAAATTTTTGGTCCATAGATGCTGAAAGCTGTTTCTCCTCTCTTGGTTCTGGTTCTGGGGATGCAGAGCAGACCAGAACCAGAAGACCTGAGAGGTCTGGAAGGTTGATACAACAACAGCAGATCTTTTATGTATTGTGGTGCTAAACCGTTCAGTGATTTATAAACTAACAAGAGTATTTTTAAAATCTATTCTTTGAGCTACAGGGAGCCAGTGGAGGGACTTTAAAACTGGTGTTATGTCTCTATCTTCCTGGTTCTAGTGAGAACGCGAGCAGCAGCTTCTGGATCAGCTGCAGCTGTTTGATTGATTTGTTGGACAGACCTGTGAAGACGCTGTTACAATAATCAATGCGACTAAAGAGAAACGCATGGATGAGTTTCTCCAGATCTGGCTGAGACATTAGTCCTCTAATCCTGGAGATTAGCGTATTATCAAAATGACTAAGTGTATATATAATTAGTATTCATGATTAAAGGTTTATTTTTCCTGCAGTGCGTCCTGGAAGGAATGACGCATCACGTGACTCTTCTGTTGTACGATGGTGCTTTATGTTAACCTTCTGTTACAATATGAATGCATTTACAAAATTAAAGAAACGCAATAAAGAAATCAGATTTTTGATATCATTTTTATTATGAAGAGCGACAGGGAAAGTGTCATTTTTTTCCCTTTTTGGAAAATCTGCCCCCAAATGCAGTGTGCATAAAGACGATCGCTCTTTGTGAATAATCACCGTTAAGTGTGTGATCAAAAAAAACAACAAACGGAGCGTAATAAAACGGCAGCCTTTTGAAAATGTAAAGTATATGAAATTAATAGAGTTTAAGTTCAATTTCTGTGCAAATGCCAAGCAAGTCAGTGCAACAGTAACACAAAGCAGCCATGAGCAACCTGACCCGACACAAAATAATATCGCTAAGTGTCTTTCTAAATGTATACTGATGAAAATTACTGTATCCCTTATTGATGTATGTTTTCAGTTTTTTATTTTTTTCCAAAAAATTTGTAGTTTTGGCTTTCAATGAGGTGCGCTCCAGAAAGTACGGTGCTCTTAGTCATTTGACAACTTGTCGCTCCAGAGCAAACATTCAGGCAATTCTTCCACACTGGCAACGAATGCAGACGATTCGGTCCAAGAATTGTAGAATTGAATGTTTCTTCTACACATTTTTATAGCATAGAAAAAACGTTAAGAATGATTGCGTCGTGTTTGTCCTCCTACAGAAATCATAATAAAACAAAAAATATATTTCCCAGCCCCATTTTTTCCCATTTTCAAATATTTTTGATGAAGCTCCAAAGAGCCACTAGGGTGGCGCTAAAGAGCCGCATGTGGCTCTGGAGCCGCGGGTTGTCGACCCCTGGTTTGGATCCACAGTCTCTACCCAGAGCTTCACTAGTTAACAGAATCTCTAAATCTGATCTGATGTTTACCTGACATCAATTTAACCATCATTCATTGGACAGTTATTGACTCCATACAGAAAGAATCTTATAAATCCTCAGTCAGGACTCACTCTTATAAACTATTATGTTGACATGACATTTGGACCAGAAACATTTAACTGTGTTTTATTCTGGTTTGTTTAAGCCTAATTTTTCCAAATGAAACACTCATTTATTTTGTCTGATATTAATATTAACACAAGAACAAATAAACAGAAGTGAATTTTATTTCTAAAATCTGACAAAAGACAGATTCATTCTGAAATAAAAACATTTTCTATAAAATATTTTATGATTCCACCTCTGAAGTTCAAACATCATCCAACATGGCAGATTATCAACCATTTCTACAGTGAAACTAAATATTTAGTGGATCTGATTGAGCAGTGGGCTTCAGTGTCTCTAACGGACCATCTGGTTCTGATTGAAACTCCATCAGATCCTCCTTGGATGGTCAGAGTGGAAATGATTCCTGGTTCTGCTCCTTGTCAGAGCTCAACACTAAGATCACCAAACTGTTCTCTCAGTCATTTAAACCAACATGTTGGTCTCAGAAACAAATCTTTCTGCTCTTTAAAGAAGGCTGGACATTATTTAGGAGGATCAATGATCATGTTGGAGGATTGGACCGGTTCTGATCGGAATCATTTAGAACATCAGGTTGATGATCTGTCTGGTTCTGATTTTGGTTTACAGTCACATAAAAAGTTATCAAACAGAAAGTTTCTAATGAGATTTTTTCTTTCAGGATCCATCAGAGATTCAAACCAGAACCAGAACCCAGCTGTGTGTCCTTTAAGAGCGACATGTCAATGGATCATCCTTTTACCTTTAAATCTCCTGGATTTCCAACATCAGAGAGGTGAGCTGTATCTAATTGCTGTAACTCTGGAAACTGAACCAGTAAGAACTCAGATGTTTCCAGTTATATTTCCAGAGGTTTGATCCATTATCTACAGAAATCAGCTGCTCTGTTCTCATGAAAACACCTTCATATCTTTGTCTCTGGATGTTGATGATGATGTTCTGTTGCTTCCTGGCTCCATGTCAGACTAACAGTGGATCACATTTCCACTGGGAAATACCTGGTAAAGCCATTCTGGTCCATCAGGACTTGGTTCCTGTGTGCATTGTGAGAGCAGTTCAGCAGGGAAGGAAAGCTTCATGATGTGGTTGGTGAGATCTGCTGGAACTCAACCAAACTGAGCTGATGTGGACCATCAGAGGTTCTGCTGGTTCTGAATGGGATCAGCAGGAACATTAAATATTTACAACTACTTAGATCACCTGGTTCACTGCTCACATCCAGATATCACTTCATGGACCTTTACCTTCTGATTGTCTCTGTGTGGACAGATACAATGTGAGCTCACTGGCTTCCAGGGATCTACAGGATCCATTTTAAAATCCCCAATATATCATCCAGGAGAGGATCCCACATGGAAACACCCACATATTTCAGACCTCCTCCATCTATACATCACCTCAGATCTAGTCATCAGAACCTGATGGATGTCCACTGTTCACCAGCTCTGGGAAACTGTCTCCACCAGCATCAGATCTGCTGACAGTTTGAAGTCCAAGTTCAAAATCAACATTTTAAAATGTCTACTGGATTATTCTGGTGTTATTCGTTTTCATCAGTGTAGATCATCTTCCTCTTTCTAACTTTGGATTGTGATCATGTGATGCTCTGTTTTTTATATTAAGAACTTTTAATGTGAAACTTCTGGTGATTTCCTCTGTGAATACTGATGAATGAATATTTCCTGACTTCCTAATTGTTCCTGGTTCCTCCACAGAGTGGACCAGCAGAGCTCAGAGGTTCCCAGGGGTCCATCTGCCCAGCAGCATCAAACACAGCTGGACTCTCTATTTATGGTCTGTATATGAAAAACAACTACTTTTCAATGAGTTCTGTTCAAAGTCACCTTCATGCTGCACTTTGTAGACCAGAGGACTGTCAGTCTGTCCAACAGCCATCTGGTGTTTGGCTCCATGGTTTCACTCTGATGTTTCCTTCATCTATTATTCTGTTCCAGCTGCTGGAGGACAACATTGTCACTTATGTGAAGAAAGAATTGAAGAAGATCCAGAAAGTTCTGAGTCCAGATTACCCAGAACATTCAGAGAATCAGAGAGATGATGAGGTGTTGGAAGGTGATGATGAAGAGCAGAGGAGGAGCAGCAGAGAGGCAATGATGAAGATCACACTGAACTTCCTGAGGAGGATGAAGCAGGAAAAGCTGGCTGACCATCTGGAGACCAGTAAGAGGATTTCTAAAGAGATTTGAAATGATAGATAAATTACTCATTTGGTGAAGTGATGTAATCAAATTCAAAAGATGATTTTTGTTCAGATCTGATTTTCATTATCGTGTTAATTTAGGACATTTGGCTGCAGTTTGTCAACATCAACTTAAATCTGTTCTGAAGAAGAAGTTCCAGTCTGTGTTTGAGGGGATTGCTAAAGCAGGAAGTCCAACCCTTCTGAACCAGATCTACACAGAGCTCTACATCACAGAGGGAGGGACTGGAGAGGTCAATGATGAACATGAGGTCAGACAGATTGAAACAGCATCCAGGAAACCACACAGACCAGAAACAACAGTCAGACAAGAAGACATCTTTAAAGTCCCAACTGGAAGAGATCAACCAATCAGAACAGTGATGACAAAGGGAGTGGCTGGCATTGGGAAAACTGTCCTAACACAGAAGTTCACTCTGGACTGGGCTGAAGACAAAGCCCACCAGAACATCCAGTTCATATTTCCATTCACATTCAGAGAGCTGAATGTGCTGAAAGAGAAAAAGTTCAGCTTGGTGAAACTGGTTCATCACTTCTTTAGTGAAACCAAAGAAATCTGCAGCTTTGAACACTTCCA